GCTGTTCCCCATGCACCATTTTCACCTGGGCTCTGCATGTCCTGCCCCTTGCTGGGAGAAACCCCATTGCTCTGCACACTTGTGCTGTGGTGGGTGGGTGCAGATTAGCTGGGCACTGTCAGCCCCAGAGGCAGGGCACAGCACAGGGACAGGCAGACAAACGTGACTGTCCTGAGCAGAGCTGGCACCTCGAGTCCCCGCAGCAGACTCCTAACTTGCTTCTTGTTCAAGCAGCCTTTCGTGATCCATGACATGGACACCTTGTGGCAGGCAGAGAAGGGGCTGGTGTGGAAGCAGCTGGTGAACGGCATCCCCCCCTACAAGGAGATCGGGGTGCACGTCTTCTACCGCTGCCAGTGCACCACGGTGGAGACCGTGCGGGAGCTCACCGAGTTCGCCAAGAGCATCCCCAGCTTCGTAGGCCTCTACCTGAACGACCAAGTGACTCTGCTCAAGTACGGGGTGCACGAGGCCATCTTCGCCATGCTGGCCTCCATCATGAACAAGGATGGGCTGCTGGTGGCCAACGGGAACGGCTTTGTGACCCGCGAGTTCCTGCGCAGCCTGCGCAAGCCCTTCAATGAGATCATGGAGCCCAAATTTGAGTTTGCTGTGAAGTTCAACGCACTGGAGCTGGATGACAGTGACCTGTCCCTGTTTGTGGCTGCCATCATCCTGTGTGGAGGTGAGCGGGTGCCCTCAGCCGTGCCGAGGTCAGGAAGAGTCTTCCCTAGTTAGAGGTGGCTCAGAGGGGGCTAGGGGAGCTGAGCTGCAGCTGGGCTTGAGGTCAGCCAGGGATGTCTTGGGCATGAGAGAAGAACTGAACACTTCCAAAACCAAAGCTTCTCTGTGGAGGGGATGCCTGGCAAGCTTGGACCAACAGCAAGGAATGTAGAAGTGGCATCTCCTTTCTCATGTGCTGCTGTGGGATACATTGTCCAAGGGCACACTTCTCCCCTTTCTAGCTGATGAGGTTAGAGTCACAGTGGGTGGGTTACAGTCCCTGGCTCCCTTTCCCCAGGAGCAGTGTGTACTTTGGAGAGCTGCAGCATGACCCTGCAGCTACCATGCTTCCTCTCCACAGACCGCCCTGGCCTGATGAACGTGAAGCAGGTGGAGGAGATCCAAGACAACATCCTGCGAGCGCTGGAGTTCCACCTGCAGTCCAACCACCCGGATGCCCAGTACCTCTTCCCCAAGCTGCTGCAGAAGATGGCTGATCTGCGACAGCTGGTGACAGAGCACGCCCAGCTGGTGCAGAAGATCAAGAAGACAGAGACAGAGACATCTCTGCACCCACTTCTACAGGAGATCTACAAGGACATGTACTAAGGACCTGTTATTTATGAGAATGAAGCCATGGATTCCCATCAAGACTCTTTGTACAGAAACAAAGAAAACCCTTCCCAGTGTCTTCCATTTCTCCTACTGGAAACTCTTTTCTATGTGACCCTGACATACGGTACGTAGGGCAAGATGCCGTCAGGATTTGCAGGTGCCTCCTGCTCGGCCAGGGCTTCCGTTAACACACACTAACAAATCTGCAACGCTGCTGTTCCCGTTCCTTGGCCAGCTCCAGCTGCTCCCGGAGTGGAGCAGCCACCCAGTTTACGTGGCTCAGGCAGCAAGGTCACTGTGGCACCTTGGGTCCCCAGGGTGGGGAGCCCTGGTCCTTAGGAGGACCAAGGGGGTGCAGGGGCCAGCGGGGCTGACAGCAGCACTTACAGGTGTCTGTATTCTTTTGTTTGTTTGCACTCCAAGGACATGGTCCTGAGCCGTGAAGTCTGGGACAGTGTGATGAAAGGATGTTTCTGTCTTTCCCAAAGAAAAGCTCTGGAGTATTTGAACACGGGTAGGGCTGTCCCAGGAGAGACCCTCAGCTGCAGCCCCCACTGTGCTCTGCAGTGTGTTCCTGTCTCCCCGTGGGAATGTGTGAACTCTGCCTTCCTGGGTGCTGTGTGGGAGCCTTTGCTCCTGGCACCCTCGTTCCGTAGGGAACATGTCCCTTGGCACCTCAGTAGAAGAGAGGCTGGGATGGGGAAGTAGGAGTGAAAGGATTTGACTCCTTAAAATTCACCTTCAGAGCAGAGGCATGGAATCCGTGGCTTCCACAGGCTGCTCTGCACAGACATGGGTTACAAAAAAGGTGTGTGGAGGGTCAGAGGCCTTGAGCTGGTCAGGGTTTGGTGTCCTGCCTCAGTTTCCCCTCTGTGAAAGGGACCTGGATTGTCACATGCTGTCTGCTTAGAGCAGGAGCACAAGGATCTGTTAGTGCATTGGTTGCAGAGCTTTGCAGCTGTAAATGCCAAGGATTTATAAACAGGGAGAGGGGTGGTTGGGATGCTCACAATGAGCAGGAGCTTCCCAGTGAGCGTGGCTGTGTCAGGGAAGCTGCCAGTCCACCTCTGCCACAGTTCCCAAGAGTGGAACAGCTCCAGGCTTAGAGGTCTGCCTGATCCCAGCACCATTCTGGGACTTTACCTCACAACTTCTCACAGCTGCAGTGAAACACCACGGTGCTGCCTGGGCCAGGCAGACCCCTGGTGTGGGGGCTGTGTCCCCTGGGCTTTGGGCAGGGGGAGGATGAACCTGAGAATGGCTCAGTTTCCCTTTCAGGATAATGGTGTCTCACCTAAGAAGCAACACTTCTCTGTCTGCAGCTCCTAGTCCCTTCTGTCCTGAGCAGCCTTATTAAAATACTGATATTCCCTAGGAGGGGTTGTGGGAGCAAATTATTCGGTTTTATTTTACTTTCCTCTTCTTCAGGGTAGCAGATTTCCCTGGTGCAATAATTCCTTTAAAACCCAAAGGGGAAGAGCACTAGGCTTTCCCTCCCTATCACAGGGCTGGTTGGTCCCAAACCTCCCCCTGCTGCCACACTCCTCAGTTTGCCGTGCCTCAGTTTCCCTGCCCAGCCCTCCCCTCCCTACCTCGAAGGGGTATTGGGAATCACCGTTTCTGAAGCACTTTGAAGCCCTCTGGGGGAAGGCACTGGAGACATGAGTGTGCTGGTGGGAGCCCAGGGATTTGTCCTTCCCAAAATCCCGGTGGCGTTCCCACCTCGGTCGCAATGCAGGACTCGTGCCCATCACCTGGGAAACTTTTTGCTCTTCCTTCCTCAACAGTATAACAACCCTCAAACTGAAATGTATATTTTTGCTAGAAGTACAAACCTCCAAGTGTTTTTAATAATATAAATAGTGTCCACAGACTGACTTGACTTTAAATAAATCTGAACTAAATATTTAAGAACCTTTTAGCGTCCAGCCTATCTTTATGGGCTTTCTCTCAGCACCTGGAGACAGCTGTCGGTGGGAGGATTTCCAGCAGAGGCGATGGGATTTGCTGGGATTTGCCATGATTCCTGGGTTTCGGTAATTCCCAGATCTCGTACCTGCTGTGGTTTTCTTGCCTGCAAACCTGAAGCAGCAGAAAGAGGCAGTGTGGAGCAGGATCCCAACCTCAGCTGGATGCTTCCTGCCCCAAATGCTGCGGGCGGAGCTGGAAACGAGCTGAAAACACCGGGATAAGGGGAACAATGAGCTCCGGGGCTGTCCTTGGCTGTGGTGAAACACCTGAGAATTTGCAGAGGAGCCGAAAACCCTCAGGCTCCCCTGGGCCCGGCTTGAGTGCCTGGGGGCAGCCGTTCCGCGGCTCCCTGCCTCTCCCATGCAGCGGGGGGCACGGGAGCCGCCGTGTGCTGGGCGGGGGTCCCAGGGGACCTGCCTGGGCACCCAGCGTGGTTACAACAGCCAGCATTACATCATCCAGCCGTTCCCAGCGTGATGGGGGAGACAACTGAGAGAGAAGTGAAACCCACAGGCTGAGTTAAAGACAGTTTAGTAGGACTGAGAAGGAAGGGGAAATAGTAATGGTAAAAGAATTAGAATATACAGAATGTAGCGATGCACGCTGGAGTGGTGCCCCCGTGCAGGCTCCTCGCTGCAAAGTCCTTGACTCAATGTAAATAAGCAATGCTCAGCGGCCGGCTGCTATCAGCCAGCCCGGGATTGTCCTCCGCCCCAAACACGTGTCCCCGCCAGGGGAGAATTATCCCAGCCGGACCCGGGACTCCCTGAGGCCATAAATAGCCCCGAGAGGTGGCCCAGCCCTCTTCGCTGCTAGGGAAGAGATGGAGGTGGGCTCGATGATGGCATCTGGACCGTTAAGGGCCGAGGCAAGCTCTGTGAGACCCCTGTGCAGGTAAAGGCTTGAGGATGGGCTGCCTGGGAGCAGCTTTTGGGGGAGATAGGCTGGAGATGGGGCTCCTCGCTGTGGGGGTAGGGAGTGGTTCGGGATGGCCTTGATGCACCTTTCCCGTTTCCCCACCCCCCCGCCGGAGCTGGGGGTCGGCGGCAGCGCTCCAGCCAGGACCCCCCTTCCTCCAGCCCCAACTCCTGCCCTTCTCCCTGCCCCAGCCCTCGGTACCGCTGCTCCCCCACGCCGTTCCTGTCCTGAGCTTCCTTTCCTTGGCAATTAGCAGGAAATGAGGCTGGATGGGGCTGGGAGGACCCTGGATCCCAGTGTCCGGGATCTGCCCTGACCAAGGGCTCCCGAGCTCAGACACCAGCCGGGGGGCTTCCAAAATACGTCCCCACCCAAACAAAGCTGGTAGCGAGGGGACGCTAGGGCAGGGCTGGAGCAGGGTCTGACCCCATCCACACGGCTCCCCTGACTAACAGGAATTTTGCCCGTGGATTCTGTCGGTGGGGCCAGAGCTGCCGCTTCTCACATGACAGAGAATCAGCCCGGGTCTGCAGGTACTTCCAGCGTGGGTTTTGCCGTTACGGAGAGCAGTGCAGGTAAGGAAGGGCTGTGATGCCACGAGGATGGGCTGGGAGCCCAGAGGAGTCATGCTGAACTGATGGGACCCTCTGTTTCTGTCCCTGGGCTCCTCCAGCTACCAGCACGTCCAGGAGGAGCCAGCACCAGTAGGGACCCAATATGGTGTGATGCCTCACTGCCACTGGGGCCAGGAACCTGGCACTGAGCCCACAGCCATGGACCGGGACCAGGGGGGAGCCCAGTGCACCGTGGCCCACAGCAGGACATGTGTGGCCTTCAAGTTCCCCAAAATGGAGGCAGAAGTGGAAGAGAAAGACAAGAAGAACACCCCATCACTTGGTAATGTCCCCCATGGGGACATCAGTGGAGAGTTTGTCCCCACAAAAGCTCAGAGTGCCTCAGGTAGGTGCTGGGCTGCCCAGGGGACAAGTGGGGTGACACTGGGGTGGTTATGAAGAAGTTGCCTGTGCATATTTCTGCCTGTGACCAAGCCTGGGTCAAGCTGGGCTGTGGAGAGCTCTCCAGTGTGGAGACTGTCACTGCTGAAGCTGCATGCTCTGAGCAGCCCACCCAGCTCGCTGAGCTTTTCCCTTCTAAGAACTCTCCTCCAGCAGGCTTGCAGCCACAAGGACCAGCACTGGATCCAGACTCCTCTGACCCCAAAGAGGCAATTTTGGAGATGGCAACATGGACTGGTGACCCTGCAAAGGTGGGTTTGGGGTCTCCTGTGGCCGGGTATTCCCTTGTGGTCACCTTGTGGTGTTCCCGAGGCCAGAGCAGTGACAGAACCAGGGGGTTTGCTGTGCTGCTCTGCTTGCAGGTCCCTGCAGAGCCAGGTGCTGTGGCAGCCCTGGCCACCACCGCAGCGCTGAGGGCCCAGAGTGAGTCTGTAGTGTGTGGCATCTGCATGGACAGGGTGTATGAGAAGCCACTGCCAGAGGAGCGGCTCTTCGGGATCCTCCCGAACTGCAGCCACGCGTACTGCGTGGGCTGCATCCGCAAGTGGCGGCGCAGCCGGAACTTCCAGAGCACCGTCATAAAGTGAGTGCAATGGGGACGTGGCAGGGTGGTCACCATTCCCCCTCCTGTGCCCTGAAATTCTTCCTTTGGTCCGGTGATGTGGCTTCGGGATTGGCGTGAGTTTCCTTTGGGAACAGGCGCTTTGGAGCGGTGACGGGTATGGGGGTGCTGGGGGAAGCTAGGGCAGCAGAACCACCCAGTGTGGGTGCTGAGCCCATGCTCCCTTCTTGGGACACCCAGCTGCACCCATCACCCTCATCCAGGGCCTGCCCAGAGTGCCGGATCACCTCCAATTACTACATCCCCCACAAATACTGGATCTCAGATGTGGGTGAGAAGGAGCAGCTCATCAGAGCCTTCAAGGCACGCACAGGGTGAGTGTGCGGCACTGCCCCAGGGCTGTGGGCTCTGTGCTGCTCTGGGAGCTACCCTCACAACTATGCTTGGAATCCCACAGGAAAATCAGGTGCAAATTCTTCCTCCGTGGCCACTGCCCTTTCAGATCAGAGTGCATCTACCTGCATGAGCTTCCTGCCAAGTGCCTGCGGCGGCACAGACAGCGGCAGCTGAGGATGCCCACTGTAAGTGGGGTGGCACATCCCGGGGCTGGGCTGGGCACCGGGAGCGTGGCTCATCCTCCCTCCTCTGCTGCAGGTGTTCATCCCTTCTTCCTCGGAGAGCTCTGACGAGGAGGATGAGGAGCTCTGCACGCTCGAGTGGGCTCTTACCCTGGCCATGCTGGAGACAGAAATTCCCCACTCGAGTTACGGCCACGAGATGCTTCTCATTGACTTCATCGATTCCGACTGAGCCGTGGGGGCCACGCTGGGCCTGGGTGCTGGTGGTGGCCTGGACCCGTCCCTGGGAGGCAGAAGTGTCTGCTTTGACTCTGCCGTTGTTTTGGGATGGCTCCTGCCGCGGGGGTGTTGCAGGGATGGGGTGGGATGGGGAAGCAGTTCTGTCTGGCATTTATGGGTGCACCGGGGAGACTCAGGGCACAGTCCCACTGCTCTTGCCGTGGTGCCCAGGGGAGACCCACGGGTGGGGTGGGGTGGGGTGGGTGCTGGGAGCCAGCGTGGGGGGGTCCGACATCCACGGGCCGGGCAGCAGGGGGGCACCGTTTTAAACTCTTTTTAGCCAAATCCGGGAATAACGAAATAAAACGGGTTGTGTAAGGCTGCGCTTCCGGGTGCCTATGATCTGTGGGCTGGGGGATCCACCCTCGCGGGAGGGAGGGGAGGCGGTGTTTGGGTTGGAATTTAAGGAATATTTGCATAAGTGAGCTCGTTTGCCGCGCGGGCGATTTGCGTTTCCCGGGGCGGGGCCGGAAGCGGCGCCTTGGGACAGCGGGCGGGGACGGGGCGACAACCGGGAGGGTGCGGACAGATGGGAGTGTGCGGGACAGATGTGAGTGTGCGGGGACAGATGTGAGTGTGCGGGGACAGATGTGAGTGTGCGGGACCGATGTGAGTGTGCGGGACCGATGTGAGTGTGCGGGGACAGATGTGAGTGTGCGGGACCGATGTGAGTGTGCGGGGACACGGTGACAACCGGTAGGGTGCGGGACAGATGTGAGTGTGCGGGGACAGATGTGAGTGTGCGGGACAGATGTGAGTGTGCGGGGACAGATGTGAGTGTGCGGGACCGATGTGAGTGTGCGGGACCGATGTGAGTGTGCGGGGACACGGCGACAGCCGGGAGGGTGCGGGACAGATGTGAGTGTGCGGGGACAGATGTGAGTGTGCGGGGACACGGTGACAACCGGGAGGGTGCGGGACAGATGTGAGTGTGCGGGACAGATGTGAGTGTGCGGGGATAGATGTGTGTGCGGGGACACGGTGACAACCGGTAGGGTGCGGGACAGATGTGAGTGTGCGGGGACGGGGCGACAACCGGGAGGGTGCGGGACCGATGTGAGTGTGCGGGACAGATGTGAGTGTGCGGGACCGATGTGAGTGTGCGGGACAGATGTGAGTGTGCGGGGACAGATGTGAGTGTGCGGGGACGGGGTGACAACCGGGAGGGTGCGGGACCGATGTGAATGTGCGGGACAGATGTGAGTGTGCGGGGACAGATGTGAGTGTGCGGGACCGATGTGAGTGTGCGGGGATAGATGTGAGTGTGCAGGGACGGGGCGACAACCGGGAGTGTGCGGGGACAGCCGCGAGTTTGCCCGGGACTGCCCCGTGTCCATCTGTGTCCTATGTGTGTGACCGTGTCCAGCTGTGTCCCGCGTGTGTGACCGTGTCCGGCTGTGTCCCGCGTGTGTGACCGTGTCCAGCTGTGTCCCGTGTGTGTGACCGTGTCCGGCTGTGTCCTGTGTGTGTGACCGTGTCCAGCTGTGTCCCGTGTGTGTGACCGTGTCCAGCTGTGTCCTGTGTGTGTGACTGTGTCCGGCTGTCCCCCGCGTGTGTGACCGTGTCCGGGCTCCCCGTGTCTGTGCAGCCCCCGCCGCAGCGATGGAGCCCCGGTGCCCGTCCTGGCTGCAGCTCTGCCCCCGGCCGTGCCGCCTCCTGCTGCAGGCTCTGTCCTCGGGCCCCGCCGGGGCGATGGCCGCGCTGCGGGTGCTGCAGCGGGGCCAGCCCCACGAGGGGCCGGGCCAGCCGTTCTCCTGGCAGGCTCTCACCGCAGCCCTGTGCGCCCAGGAGCCCTGCCTGGAGGGGCCAGAGGACAGCCTGGCTCTGTGAGTTGGATAAGTTTCTAAAACTGGGTGTTTCGTGGGAGTTTTGGGTGTCAGGTGCACAATCTGGGAGAGCACATCCGCTTCCCCTGGCGCACTGGTCCATGCGTGAAGCTGAGGTCACAGCAGTGACCCACTGGTGTCCCAGAGTGTGTCTGCTGTGGGACTCTGCTCCACGGGGCGGGTTGGGCTCAGGACGGGGGAGTTTGCTCTGATCAGTCACCTCTCCTTTCCCAGCAAGCCACGGCTGCTGCTGCTGCCCGTTCTGTGCCAGAGAAACCTCCTCTCCCTGCTCCTCGTGGTGCAGGATGCAGTGCCACGGGACTGCCTTGAGCAGCTGCTCCAGGCCCTGGAGCAGGATTCCCATGTGGATCCCTGGGTGCAGACGCTGGGGGATCTGCTCCGGCGGGGACTGAAGGCAGAGGAGAGCTCCCCATGTCCCCCTGCCCTGTCTTCTGCGTGCCAGCAGCAGCTTAAGGGCCTGTGCCAGAAAATTGCCCAGAAGAAACCAGAGGGGCAAAGAAAATTGAACTGGTGCTTCAGCAAGCAGCCTGGTGCCCCTGACTATGTGCCTCAAGGTGGGAAGCGTAAGGAAGTGCCAGAGGAGAACCTGGAGTTGGACAATGAGAGAGAGGGGAAGAGGTTGTTGCTGGAGGAGGCGGCATTTGAGCCCCTGGGGCCCCAGGAATGTGGAGATGAGGCAGGGGTGGAAGAGGAGGTGCCTGAGGAGCCTTCAGGGGATGCATCTGCTCAGAGCACAGATAAAGCTGCTCGGGACAGCTCCCAGCAGGATGCAGCTGGGGAGCTCAGGAAGATTTCCCAGACAGAGCTGGCAGCCGAGGTCCAATCCTTTGTCCAGGTACTGTGTAGGGTTTGCTGTCCCCTTCCAGCCACTGAGCCTTTACAGCCTGATTCCCATTCCTTCATCTCATTTCCCTCAGATGCATGGACAGGGGCTGAAAATGCTGCTGCTGCAGGAGTCCAGCGTAAGTGGTTGCTTCTGTCTCTGTCCTGGAGCTGATGCTCTAAACAGGCTCGTGTCAGGGCCTCAGGAGGGGTGGAAAAGGAGGTGGATTTCACAGAGCCAACTGGATGGGGATAAAAAGCCCTGTTGCTACCTCCTCTGGGCTGGGGATACCAACACCTGCCTGCACCCTGCAGGGGTGAGAGGCTGCCTGTGGGCTCAGTGCTGACAGACATGGGGGTAAGGGAGAAGCCCTGGAGCTGCATTTTGTGGGTCGGTGTATTTGGTGCTGTATTTTGTGTTGGCTTATTTGGCGCTGTATTTTGCGTGTGGGTTTATTTGGTGCTGCATTTTGTGTGTTGGTTTATTTGGTGCTGTATTTTGTGTGATGGTGTATTTGGTGCTGCATTTTGTGTGTGGGTTTATTTGGCGCTGTATTTTGTGGGTCGGTTTTTTTGGTGCTGTATTTTGTGGGTTGGTGTATTTGGTGCTGTATTTTGTGGGTCGGTTTTTTTGGTGCTGTATTTTGTGGGTTGGTTTATTTGGTGCTTTACTCAGGACAGTTTCTCTCCAGCACTCCGAGCTGCACACCCTGCCCAAGCTGAGCATCCTGAACAACTGCTCCCCCAGCCAGGTGAGCCCCAGCATCCCTGCTGCAGCTGCTGCAGGGGCCCTGCTGCTGTCCCTAATGTCCCATCCCCTCTGCACCCCCAGCTCGAGGGGCTGTGCTCCTTCCTCCAGCTCTCCACGTGCCCAGAGCCCTTCCTGCTGCGTTTCTGCAGCTGGCTGCTGGCTCTGAGCCCTGACCTCAGCTACACCAGCGCAGCCATCCTGGCAGAGCAGCTCTTCCTCAGGCGAGTACGTGCCAGGGCAGCTTTCCTGCTCCCCGTTCCCCTCTCCACTGTCCCCACCTCCTGCCTTTTCTGTCCCCAGGTCCTGTCCCTCACCCAGCCGCCTTCCCGACACCTCATGGCTGCCCTGACTTCGTTTTGCTCCAAATATTCCCATCCCTTCTGCCGTGTGCTGGTGGCTGCGGTGCTGCAGGGGCCAGGGGAAGGTGTGCTGGGCTGGTGGGAGGTGTGGCTGCTCCTGGGAGCTGGACAGGGGCCCCAGCTGCAGAGTGCTGTGCCCTGGGTGGCATTTGCCATGTGTAAGGAGGCCTGGGGCTGGTTTTTTCAGGGCAGGGGAACACCTGGGGGTTGGGATGGGAAATGGGTTTACAGATGCCCGAGATGGAGTAGGAGGGCTGGCCAGGCTGGCTTCTGGCTTATTTTTTCCCAAAGGACAGTTGCCATACCTCCATGATTGGAGGGCTACTGACAGCTCCTAATGCTCAGGCCAGTGCTGCTGTGAGGAGAGGGTGAACCCCTGCCACAGTGGCATCCCCTTTTCCCAGAGGCTGGTGCTGTTTAAACCTTTGCTGCAGCTGGGCAAAGGAAACAGAATTATCCTGAGCAGTAGCAGGGGGCACTCTGTAGTTTCTGCCTGTCCTGACTGGGACATACTCCTGTGAAGAGGTGCCAGGAAGGGCCAGGCACATCCCCATGGATTTGGCAGCCTCTGGAGGCTCTCCCCTGCTGCTTTGCCCTTGCAGGTGCTGAGCAGACCAAGCTGCTGTGCGAGCTCGTGGAGGAGTGCCTGGAGCCACACGCTGTGCAGCTGGTGCTGAGGTGAGGGGTGACAGCTCTGCTTTGGCCTGACGCCCACCTGGGTGGGTCCAGCTGGCTCCAGCCCTCTGGGAGCACCAGCAAGGCCACGGAGCAGCACCTTTCCTCCTCACCATCCTTCCAGCCAAGTCCTGGAGGTGCCTTTGTCAGAGAAACTCCTGCCAGTGCTGCAGGCCGTGCTGGGGCGGCAGGTGAGGGGCCCACCTTGTCCCACGGGTTTCCTTGATGGCTCCAGCAGTGCTGGAGCAAGGACCCGCTCTCCTGCCTGCTCCTGGCTCTGTTCCAGGAGGTGCTGCCCCCGGAGCTCTTGGATCTCCTGGTCCTGACCCTGTGCCAGCAGGCTCCAGCCTTCGCCACCTCGCTCAGCTTCGCCAAGCTGGTGACGGCCGTGCTGACGGCGTGTCAGAGCCAGGTGAGCCCGGCCAGGCTCAGCTCCTGCAGCTCCTGGGGCTTGCCTGAGGTCCCAGGTGAGGTCCCAGCTGGGCTCCAGGCAGGACAGGGCCCTGAGCTGCTGCTGCCTCCACCCCAGGTCAGCCCAGCTCACCGGAGCAGCCTGGCTGCCGTGCTGGAGAGGAGCAGTGCAGCTCTGAAGAAATCGCTGCAGGCGGTGCTGGAAGGGGCCAGGTGAGATGGGACAGGGCAGGTTCTGCACCCAGGCTGGGGAACCAGAAGGTGCCACGCCTGCTGTGCCAGAGCTGTGAATGGTGGGTACGGCAGTGGCTTCTCTCTTCTTGATTTTTGTCTTTCCTCAGGTGACAGCCAAAAGGAATCGTGAGGGGTCAGCTTCCTTGTGTGGAGGACACTCATTGCACAGCAGCAGCCACAGCCACCCCTCCCTGGCTTCTCCCTGCTCAGGTGGGACCCTGCGAGTGGGGTCTGTTCCCCCAGAGTGCCCAGGGCTGCCCCTGGTCTGAGGGGCTCTTGCTGAGCAGTGCCATCCCAGCCCCCCCACACTCCCGGGGGCTCAGAGGGGTTTTGGTTGAACAATTCAGGTTTTTCAGGTGTTTCTGTGTGTGTTCTGCCTCGGGCCTGCCACACTCTGCAAGGTGACCTGGCCCTCCTGTGCTGGGGCAGGGCTGTGGGGGCCAGGCAGGACACAGCCCACGGAGAACTTCCAGGCCCTGGGTTCTTACTGCCCAAAACCCATCACTGAGCCAGCACAGACATTGGATTGAGGCTGCACGAAGTTGATAATTCTGGATTTAGCTCACTATCTTGAGCTGGGCTGCTGTTTGTATATCTGATCTGCTGGGATTTACAGACCTCTGGCTGCAGCAGAGTGGGATTTTACTGAATTCCAGCTGAATTTAGCTGGGAAATTTGAGTGTTCTGCTTTAAATCCACCTTTCTATCCTGTTTGCCTGGCCCGTGAGGGGCCCTGCTGACACATTTCTGGTGATGATGACCCTACTCATTGCCCTAATAGAAAATCTTGTGTGGCATGACTCTGCTCAAAGTTCTGTCCTGTATTCTTGAAAATACCCACTGGAAACCTCATCTAGGCACCTCCTGGTCTGAGAACTGAGAAGAAAAGGCTGGGACAGAGTGGAGACTCAGGCACGTAGAGCTAGGGTTTCAGTGGAGGTTTTGAATCATTGCATTCAGGAGCTTCAGAAACTATTTAAAAATCCATAAACATCTACAAAGGGAGAAGGAGAATTAAAACTTGCAGGTGTGACGTGTGACTGCTCCAGGTTTGCACAATAATGTTTATATCCCAACCAGAGGAAGGAAACTCTGAAGCATTAGGTGACACTCTTAAGGCTGAGAGCCAGATTTCTTTATATAAGAATCCCTTAAGCTATTTTAGGTGACAGGGGACTGATGAGGCTTCAAAGTCCTCATTAGCTGCAGGATAGAAACCTCCAGGGAGCCAGATTGTTGATGTGTTTGCATTCCAGTGAGTTAGTGGCTGAGTAAAGTGAAGCTATTGTAGGGCTGCCCAAAATACGACATAAATAGAAATTGTGCCATGATCATCAAGGTCTAAGCCCTGCTCTTCTGGCTTTATTAGGTAGCAGGCTCTGATCTTTGCAGTTTCCCTGCAGAGCTTCTACCAAGTGACCTCGGTGTCATTGTCCCCAGTGCTCTGTCTGGCTGTGGCTGTTGGTCACATGGAGGTGACCAGTGGCTTGTGGCAAGTCCCTCTTGGTCCTGTTTTTGCTCTTGGCTGCAGCTCCTCGTGTGCTGTGGGTTCCTCTGAGGTGTACATGCAGATAACAATCCTGTAAGGAGAGCTGGGAGCACACCCTGGGGACACTGCACATGCTGGTGGAACACTTTATATGGAGGTTGGCAGCACAGAAAACTTCACTTTTGACTCCTCTTGACCCTTTAAGAGCTTAAAAATCCATCCTGAACAGTGCAGAGAGGTGGATGCAGCATAAAACATCAGTCAGATTTTATAGTTCAGCAGAACCTTGGCCAAGGGTGGCAGGAGTTCCAGGACTGGCTTTGTCCTTGTCCTGGTTTAAGAGTGGTGATGGTGAAGGGAATGGTCTGAAGCTTTGTCTGAGACCTTTCCTAGGTGATTTTCATCCAGTTTACTTGTGATAATTGGCAGTGGTTCCTTACCTGCTTCCTCTTCTGTCTGTAGAGTTTTACTTCACATTACAGAGGGGAATTCCCTTTTTGGCCTAGTAGTTCTTGGGTTTTTTTAGAGGAAATTCTTCATATGCAGTTGCATGGGTTGTCTGTCCACTCTGCTGCCTCCACACCCTCCACAGGGATTTTTGAACCAGTTTCATGACAAGATGATTCCTCAACTGCCCCAGTGCCTTCGTGGGGCTGTGGTCAGGCAGCAGTGAACCTTTGGGGTGAGCAGGCTTGTTAAACACCAGACATCTGAGCCATGCTGGGGCCTTGGGCCATGCAGCACCTTGTTGGAAAGGGCTGAAACTCAGTGATTTTCCTGAAAATGCCCTGTCTCCATCCCCCAAGGGCTGCCCTTCTCCAAACAGGAGCTCCAGGTTGTTGCTGTTTCCCCTCCTGCAGCAGTGCCAGGGGTCACCCCACTTCTCCCTGGAGGTAACTGCATGTCCAGTGACAGCCTGCTAATCTCATGTGTAATCCCCAACGTGCTGATGCAATTCTACCTGGAAACCTGGGGGCTGTGACACCCAAATGTGAGGCTGAACTGCTCTGGGGGAGGCTCAGCAATATTTATTTTTTTCACTTGGGATTTAAAACTGAATAAAAAGGAAGAGCAGTTTTCCTTCTTGTCTGTTTGGTGTTTTTTGGTTTTTTTTTTTTTTGCCAATAACCTTTTAATCATAGGCAAGGATCGTGTTCTCTCTTGGGTAGCCTGGTTCCTGTCAGCTAGGGAAGCCGGGGCCACAGAAAGGTGAATTTGAGGGAGGGCTGGGCTGCTGTTTCGTGGTTGGGCCCCCGCACAGACCTGTAAGTCACGCTTGCCACATCAGTGGCAGCAGTCAGCGTCAGTCTGAGCAGCTTTCTTCCAAGAAGTGAATAATCCAGATGACCACTCTGTGATCTGAGCTGGGAGTTCAGCTCGGCTTCAGGTGCCCTGGGAGGTGCTGCTGCCGTGAGGGACCTCGCTGGAAGGAGCCCAGGGGACAAAGGCACAGCCACATGCTGCCACCCACGCCCCTGGGCTGGACATCTCCCCCGAGGGTCTCGTTCCTCCCTGCTGGACAGGTCTGTGTGAGGGGAACTGGGCTGCTTTTCCTTGCCTGAGGCTCTGCGATACCTAGATTGCAATCACCATTTAGCTGCTCCCAGCTTAAAAAATAAGAATGCCTAAAAATCCCGGCATGCTTTTAGTAAATGCTTTTAGAGACTCTTGGTTCGTGAACAGACAGGGACATTGCCTCTTGTGAGCCCTCCCCTGAGTGAGGGAAGGAACAGAGGCAGCAGTGAGATGTGTCCCGGGCTCTGTGTGCCCCACGGAGCCTGATGTGCCCCCTGGTCCAGCTGCTGCTCCTCTCTGCGCCGGTTCCCACCTCACCTCCCCCTGTTTTGTAAGACCTGGGGCTGCATTCTGGGCTCGCAGGTGGGTCAGAGCCAGCACTGGGAGATGCTGTTTGCCCTCTCAGGGCTGGAGAGGTCTGCAGACCCCCTGGGCATGGGGGGAAATCAGCAGCAGCCCCCAGGTAGTGCTGAAGGTGGAGCCCGAGTCGCTGTAAGCTCCTTAGGGGAAGAAAGCGGCTTTAGAGGATGCGATGGATTTGAGCAAAGGGGTTGAACCGCGGATGGGGCAGTGGGGGGATGGCTGGGGGGGAGGTGGGGCTGCTGAGAGGGGCAGGAGGGAAGGGGGACCCGGGCAGAGTGGCTTCCCTGCATCACCCAACAAGATGCTACAGGGGCTCCTCATCAGCCGCTCGGGTTTCGCCTGGTGCGGGACCCCCATGAAAGCACCGGGGGGATCCCCCATCTCTCCCGGCTGCCCGGGAGCAGGGAGATGCCGAGGCTGAGCCCGCAGGCACGGACGGAGCAGTCCTGCTCTTTCCCGGCTCCCGGAGCGGCTGCGGGACCCGGCCCCGCACCAAAAGCAGAGGTTTCCTGGCCACCTGCAGACCACTCTGCCCGCCCTGGCCGGCGCGGGGAGCTCCCGGCCGCTCTCTCGCATCTCCTTTAAAGGCCTTCTCTCCTCGGGCTCGGCCCCGCAGCTCCGCTCGCCGCTGTGCCCGCGGGGAGGCTCCGCCAGCAGCCCCGAGCCGCGGAGCGCCGGCCGCGCCGCGCCCCGGAGCCGCTGCCGGCTCTGGGCGCCCAGCAGAGCGGAGCGGGTCCGAGCTGGGCTCCAGCATCTGCCTTCGGCTGCCTGGGAGGAGATCGGGCAGGTAATGATGTCCCGGGGAGCGCCGAGTCGAGGGAAAGCCCGGTCTGGCATCTCAGGGGGTTCCTTATGCTAAACCAGCGGCGTGTCTCGTATCTTTTCCATCTGTAACGCAAAGATAAAGGAGCGAGCGTCTGCGAGGCTCGGAGCTGTGGGAAGGCAGCAGGCGGCAGGGTCTGCCGCAGCTGGGATGGATTGAGCACTTAGCAGCCGGGACCAGCCCTCCGGAGCGCTCTGATGCTGATGGTGTGATGAGTTTGGCTGATCCCTGCTGGCCGGAGACGCCCGAGCCCCTGGGTGGAGGTGTCAGCGACAATTCCCACTGTATAGGTGTGAAATGGGCTGGCGTTGGTGCCAAGTGCTGCTTTTTACACCTCCACCCAGAGCCGAGTGATGGCCCTGCTTGGAGCTGGGCTGAGCTTGGCCAAGGCTTTCCACAGGGCTTCAAGCAGTCCCTGCTCTCTGTCCCCCTAGATCTCTCCTGCATTTCCTGTCCTGGACAAAAAAAATCTCCTTCTGTCCTAAATCTGCATGTCCATGGGCCCAGCCTGCGAAGAGTCACTGTGGGACAGTCCCTTGTGCACAGTGACTTCACGCTGGGGCTTCCTGCATCCTTCTCTGATCCTTTAAACATTGCAAAACAGCTGACATGGGTTGTCCAAGCTCCCTTATATCTGGAAATCTTTTCTATTTGTCTCTCTGGGAGCTCAGGGACCTGGAGAGCAAGGGTTGCTCACACCGGTTGGTAGCTGCAAATCTATCTCCCCCCAGGAAGCTGACCCACATCACAAACCCAAAATGAGGATTGCCCTGGGGGAAGGAAATGGGGCTGGCAAGAAGGAAAGCCCACCTTCTTGCATTGAATTTCTCATCTGCCTCGCTCGGTGCCCGCCCAAATCCCAGCAGATTCCTCCCAAATCGCAGCGGGCCTCCCCACCTCTTTTCCCACAGATGCCTCCACGCTAAGCAGAGGAGCTCCACGCTCCTGCTGGGTGAGAAAACACTTTAAAAATATAACATTTAGAGGCGTTCTCCATCTGCGCGCAGCTAATGTGGGTCTCTCCCGATAGGTGTGCTGCTCCTGGAGCCTCGGCACTGCCCAAATGAAGCCGCTCGAGGGGCAGGGGGAGGAGGAGGCGGCGCAGGCACCGGCCCAGGGGCGCCGGCGGCGGCAGCGGCAGAGGACGAGCTGCCGAGCCAGCCCCTCGCCTCGGAGGTACGTGCCCAAAAAGCTGCCCCAGCGGCCCCCGGGGTGCTAGCAAGGATGGGACAGTGGTGGCAGTGCCAGGCAAGGGACGCTGAGCATCGTTCTCCTGCAGCCGCTGCTCTCGGGCTCGCCAGGAGGAGAGGGAAAAGCTCTGCTGCAGCCCTTTCCAGAGGCAGGGGGAAAAGTTTGGGGGTCCAAACCCTCTCCCAGTGGGATGCTGGGCTCCAGCGTGGGGCTGCTGAGGGCTCTTTGCACAGCAGCTCCTGCGTCTCCACGCACTGGTGACCTGCCGTCCCTGGTGGCCTCCAGCATCAGTGGGCAGGGATGCTACAGAGCTGCCGGACCTCCTGGCAGCCAGGACAGGGGTTTGGGATGATAAACATATCCCAGTGCGCTTTTAGGGGCGCCTGCCATCCCCGTGGGGTGCTGTGAGATGGTGCCTGCTGGGCTCTGGGTGAGTTGTGGTGCTGGAAGAAGCCGGCTCGCAGCGAGGTCCGCTTGGCAGCCGGAGCAAAATTTAAAAAAAAAAAAAAAAAAAAAAAAAAAAAAAAAAAAAAAAAAAAAAAAAAAAAAAAAAAAAAAAAAAAGACCAGGCTGAGGCAAAGTACGGCAGTGGCTGGTGACTCATTGCTGGCTGGAAACGGCTCCGGCGGGTCCTCAGTGGGGCTGTGCGGCGGCGGCAGGAGCCGAGGGGCGGCTCGCAGAGCGGGCCGGGGACGGAGCAGGCTGCGGAGGATGCTCGGGAAGGAGCCAGGTCCGGAGCAGCCCCATCGAGGGAGCTGGGGGAGCGCGGGGGGTGCGATGCTGCCGGTGCTTCCTGAGTTTCTTTAGGGTTTACCCGGGATTCCCTCCACAGGGAGCAGCAGGCAGAGCTCTCCGGGCTCACCACATCTCCGGGTGAAGGTAAGGGCAGCCCAGGTGGGGATGGGGTCGCAAGGGTGGGTTTGTCACCTTCCCTCCCTGAGCAGCAGAAGGGTGTTCCCTGGCCTGGCACCACACCTGCAGCCCCTTCCAGCCCTGGGACCCCAACACCATCCCCTGGATTTGCCTCACCAGCTGCAACCCACCCTCTGCACTGGATCCATTGCTCTCCTCCCCCTGACCTGGTCCAGTTTGGCTCCAGCTCCCTTTATCCCATAGGGATATTTTGGGGAGTACCTGCCAGCTGATGCCCCTTGGTGCCAGGGGCAGCTTTGGGGGTCTCTCCTGAAGTGGGGTCAGGCTGGGGAGGGGTCCCTGCTGCCCAGCTCCCAGCACCCTTTCTGTCCCCAGGCAGGATGAGCAGTCCCCAGGGACAGCCAGGTGGGGTTTTGGCCAGGAGTGAGCAGAGTGTGGAGCAAGTCAGCCAGGTGAGAGGGAGGGGAGGGTGAGAGGGAGGGGAGGGTGAGTGGGGCCTTCCCTGCCTGGCTCCTTGGGCTCAGCCAGGCCCCCCAGCCCCTCTGCGCTGGTCCTTTCGGGGTGCTGGGCAGCAGCAGGGAGAGGTTTGCCCCAGCTGCACCTTTGTGCCCCTCAGGAGCCAGGCAGGGCCATGCAGGAGCAGGCTGTGCACCCTGGGGACAGTGACAGGACTAAACAAGGTGGGTGAGACCCCGTCCCAGCCCAGCTGGGTCCCCTTAGGGGAAGGATTGCAGCCGCTGGGGATGAGCATGGGAACATGTTCTGATGAGAGTCATCTCCTCCGGTGGGGACATGGGGAAGGGGACACTGGCCTGGGAGGAGCTAAAGCCCCTCTGCTGGGGGAAGGATTGGGATGGTTCCAAAACAGGGGCACCTACTCCCTGCTAAGACTGGAGGGCAGAGGGAAGAGGAAGGTCAAGGGAAAGCCCTCACGTGTGGTCTCTTGTGGCCCCACTGCCCTCCTGCAGATGCAGAAACCCCAGAGGAGCCGCTGCTGAGTCTCCCCAGTGAGCTCTCAGTGCTGGACAGATTTGGTTTGCACAGGTAAGACCAGTGAGCACCTGCATCCCTCTGGGGGCTCCAGGACAGGGGGGGTTCCAGGGCACAGCAGGCTCAGAGATTGGACTTCCCTCCTTTTCCATTGCACAAGAGCTGCTGTCCACACAATGGGCACTTGGCTTCCCACTTCTGGTGGTGGCTGGCACCCCTGGGAGCAGAGCAAGGGCATTTTCAGCATGCAGCCCCCATGATGCCTCCATCCCTGACAGCACTTCTCTTTCTGCAGGGTGGCTTTGACCGAGCAGGATCTGGAGGTGAGGGCAGCTGGGGGCCGTGGGTGGGCTGAGGAAAGGGGACACAAGGACGGACCCTGCTGGCTCACAGTCCCACGGCCGTGCCCTGCTCCTTCAGGCACCGCAGGCCCCTGGCAGCCACCTTATCAACCCTTTCCCAGAGATGCTTTTGGCATTTGGAGGCAGCTGCATTTCCACCAGCCTGTCCTCTGCGTGCCCGGCAATCCCACAAAGTGCTCTGCAGCCGGGGAGGCGGCGGGAGCCACGCTAATAAAAATCATTTCCCTGCGAGTGCCAGGGCTGAGTCAGGCTCAGCCGGCAGCCGGGACCCGCAGCCAGGGCTGCTCCTGCCAGGAGGGCTCAGGATTTCCATGCGTTATCAGCTGCCTGGGGGACCCGGGCTGGCATCTCAGGGGACTGTCCCCAGCATGCAGCAGCCTAACTGGTGCTGGGCAAGGCAAGTGCTAATTATCTTTAGCACTGGCCTGTTTGGTGGCACGCTGGGAGCTCTGTCTGTGCCTTGGGGACAGCAGCACACGGCCCTGGTGGTTTCCCTTCTGCCCCCGTGTCCCACCTCTCACCTCCCCACACTGCAGGCAGCCTTTGCCCACCTCGCCCTGGCTTTTCGCTGCGACGTGTTCACCCTGCAGCAACGGGTGCTGGTGGAAAAACGGGCACGGGATGCAGCAGAGGAAAACATCCAGGAGGAGCTGGGGCAGTGCCGGGCTGCCCTGGAGGTAGGTGGGCACAAGGGCAGGGGGCTGGCACGTGCTGGGGTCATCCAGCCCCAGAGGGGTTCGGGCACTCCAAGTGCCAGCTCCAGCAGCTCCATCCTTTCCCCCACAGAGGCTGGGCCGATCCTGTGCCAATGCAGGCTGCAAGGAGACGCTGCAGCAGCTGCAGCACAGCCTGGCCGTGCTGTCAGCGGCCGTCGAGAGGGCAACCAGTGCCGCAGAGAAGCTGGGGGCTGTACACCAGGTGTGCACACAGCCCAGGGCTGGGAATGATGGAGGTGCTCCAGATGGGCTTGGGGTTTGTCCTGGGCTCACTGGGGTTTGTCCCTCCTCCTCACAGCGCTGGCCTTGACTCCTGTTTGCTCTTAGCAGGGTGCAGGGGATCCACCCGCCTGCCCGAGGGGTGGGAAGGGGATGCCCCTGCAGTGCCCGGTGGAGGCAGCACGGGGGGCACAGGGAGGGGCTGGCAGAGCTGCTCCTCAGGAGGCAGAGCCCTGATCCCCCATCCCGCCTGGCTGCAGGAGGCACGGATGAGCCGAGCAGCAGAGGTGATGGTGCAGCACGTGGAGAACCTGAAGCGGCACCAGGCGCGGGAGCACGCGGAGCTGGAGGAGATGAAGCGCCTGATCCAGCAGAACTCCCGCAACCGGCAGCTGGCAGAGACCCAGGGTGAGGCGGGCTCAGGGATGGCACGGAGCAGCCCTGCAGGATTTGGTCCCGAGCCCCTCGGGGGGGATCAGTGTGACCCTGCACCGCAGAGCCGCTGGTGGTGTGAGTTGAGGACTGGCAGTGGGGAAGGGAACAGCTGATGGCAGTTGTGAGGGGACAGTGGGACAGCAGATCCGTGTGGGAGCAGGTGCTGGTGGCCAGAGAGCCACAACCCAGCTGGGAATGCAGGGCAGGGGGCCCCATGCACAAAAAGGACTCTGTTCCTGAACACCAAGCCCCACACGTGGCACTGTGTGCACGGGACCAGGTCCCCCTGCCTGGGGCACCACCTGCGCCAAGCACAGCACATGGCCAGGACAGCTTTCAGGAGCTTTGTGACTGTCTGCATCCCCCATCTTGGTGCTGGGGGATGATGTAAGGCAGATTCTCTTTGCTCCCAGATGATGTGGAGCCACGGCTGAGACCTCACCCCCTGAAGAGAACTTTCCAGCAGGTAACTGGTTCCAGTTCAGGAGTCTTGGAGCCACTGTCTCCCCATGGCCTGCTGCCCTCCCTCGACTGGCTGTCCCCACACACCCGCCTGTTCCCAAAAATGTCACTGCAGCCAGCTGCTTGCTGCAGGGAAGATCTGCTGGAAATGCCAGGGATGAGGCAAAATGTAGGGACAGCCTCGGAGGGCTGTTGGTAGAAGGACAGGATGCCCAGCAAGCTGAGGGCTGCCTGTGCAAGAGATCTTAGGCAGATCTTTCTTCCATTGCAGGGTCACTGCAAGAGCCACAGGCTTGGCTGTTCTTTAGCACCAGCTTGAATCTGATCCTGATCCCCCTATAGCTCCAGAGGGAGGGGAGGGGGTCAGGCAGCCCCACCAGGACAGCTTGCAGCAGTAATGACAGGCACAAACCTCTTGGCTTTGACCTGCCCTGGCTTCCTGGCTTCCCCTCTTAGCTCCAGAGGGAGCTGGCAGTGCCCCGTGGTGTCCCTTGCCCGTGCTGGGGAGGTGCTGGGGCAGGAGGAGCTGCACAGTGCTCACCCCCAGCCCCTCTGTTGCAGGGGTCTGCCCGCCGCAGAGTCAGCATCGCCGTCATCCCCAGGCAGCTCTTGGTAAGGACGTGGCTGGGGGGGACAGCCAGGAGCTGTGTCCCCAGCCTCAGTGCCACTGGGGCTCCGTGTCCCCACTGATGCTCCCACCCTCGGTGCCCAGCCAGGTGCCAGCCCTGAGAGCCGAGCAGCCCCAGCGGGTGCCCTGGAGCCAGAGGGGGCCCAGCGCTGGCCCAGCAGCCAGAGGTAACTGCGCTGGGTGGCCGGGCAGCGTGGCACCAGCTGCCACTGCCCCGTGTGGGACAGCACCGACCCCGTCCTCTCCCTCCCCAGGACTGAGCTGGAGCCACAGGGCCAGGACAGCGCCGTGACCGGGAGGCTGGTGGCAGAGGCAGATGGCAGAGGCTCAGACACAGGGAACGAGGAGCCAGAGCAGCTTGGGCTGACGTGAGCAGCACCCTGCGCGTGCCCAGCATCCCCCCATGGCTCTCTGTGGTCCCCAGGTGGCCAGCACTTGGGCAGGGGGCTGGGGGATTTGGTGGTGGAAGGCTGGGATGTTGTTTGGCTGCCTCAGTTTTGCCCACACATTGTGGGTTGCCCACACCCTCCTCAGCCTTGTTCACTCGGGTTTGTAAAAGGGCCAGTGAGGTTTGGGGCTGAGTTAAACATCCTCCTTGCCCCCAGACGGGGTGGAGGTGGGATTTGCTGTCCCCCACGGATGACAGTGTCCCTGGTCACCTTCTCCCCAGGTCCAAGGGGTCTGCAGCAGAGCTGTGGCGTCCCTGGCTCTTCTTCCCACAGCACTACTGGGTTTTCTTCTGGCTGCTTCTCCTGAGCATCGCCTTCCTCCTCCTCGTCCGTGCCCTGGAGTTGCAGCGGCTGCAGTCTGCAGCATCCTCCAAGGCCTAGCTGGACCAGGGAGGAGGAGCTGAGAGGCGTCTCTGCTCCTTCCCCACGTCCTAAAACACCGAAACACTAGAATAATAAAATGGGAGGAAAAATGGGGGAATTGTAATGACGGAGCAGGGGCTAGGATCAAAGGTAGCATCTGTGGTAGGGTCCAGGGTATGGTTGGCACCTCTGTCTAACCATGAAGGGTTCAGGGAGCTGCAGCAGCTCTCACTGATGCTGTGAGCTGCCTGTTCTCAGCACATGGAGGGATGCAGGAGTGCTCTCACCCATCCCCTGCGCTGGGGACAGCTCGGGCTGCCCACGGCCGTGGGTTTCTTTAGAGCCACGTCACTCAGTGCCACCAGATGCCCTCAGTCCCTGCTGTAATTCACACCTAATGCTGCTTTGCTGCTGCCGGGGGACAGCGCTGGGGCTGGAAGGCGCAGGTCGGTGATCAGCCTTTCCCAGGCACCACGGAGCGCTCACAAACAGAGGGAGCTGTTCCCGAGCGCCTGGGAAAAGCGCTGGGTTTGACACAGACGTTTCCGTGTCCGCCCAGCCTCCCGCGGCCCCGAAACTCGGGTGGGTTCCACTGCACCCGGAGCCAGCAGCTTTGCAGGGACCAGCACAGCCCGGCCGAGCTGCCGCGGTGGCGGCTCTGCCCCGGGATGCCCAGGAAGGCTGCAGAGGGCAGCGATGGAGGTGCGGGGCTGGTCACCCTGCCGGGTGACTCAGGGTGACCGACACAACCAACGCCCGTTTGCCAGCTGGCCCCGTGTCCCTGAGTCACCGTCCCCAGGCTGTCCCCGTGCGTCACAGCCCCCTCGCCCTGACACCCGTCCCAGCGCACCGCCGATGTCCAGCAGCACCCCGAGGACACCGCCACCAGGAACCCCAAAAAGCACCCGGCCGGCAGCGATCTTCGGCCACCCCGGGGGCTCCCCCGCCCGCCCCAAGGTACCTTCACCCCCACACGAAATGGAAACGCAATCCCAGAAGTTTCCAGGCGAGCTGTGGTGGTCGGGGTCCGGAGCTGGCACTGGGTGGGTCCCCCCCCAGTCCCCCGGATCCTCCGGGGTCCCCAGCACCCTCCTGGCCGGTTTTTGGCTGCGAGGGGAGCGGCACAGCGGGAAGGGGTTGAAGCGCTTTGGCTTCATCACCCGAGTCTTTTTGCTTGCTTGGCGAAAAGTCTGGTTTCTCACCCTAAAAGACAAAAAAAGCCCAGCTGGGGCTGCGCTGTGCCGCTCGTCCCGCTGTGCCAAACCTCCCGGCGCAACATCTGCAGCGGCACAAAGAGAAGCGGCCCCGGGGCCGCCCCTCTGCCGGCACCGCCCGGCCTGGGCGCCCCCGGCCGCGGGGGAGGCTCGGGCAGCCGAGGGGAGGGGAAGGCCGAGGAGGGGAGGGCAAAGGAGAGAGAGGAGGGCCGGGCCGGCCGGCAGCTGCTGCTCGCAGAGCCGGAGCTCGTTTCCTGCTTGCTATCTCTCCCGGCGGCGCCCAGCTCCGCTCCCTCCGCACGCCCCGGTCCGTGCCTCAGTTTCCCCCCGCGAGGGGTTGTGGAGGTGAGTGGAGGGTGAGGATGGGCAGAGCATCCCTGGGTGGGGAGGGCAGGGCTCTGCTGCCCCCCGGGCCCGTGTCCCCCCGCTCGGTGCCAGCATCCCGAGCGCCGGTCCCCTCCGCCCGCCCCGCCGCGAGCATCGCAGCGCAGGGCGGGGACGGGGGTGGCAGAACCGAGCGGTGATTCTGCCGTGCTGCGGAGGGCTCAGCCCCCCGACCCCGTGTCCTGCTTGTCGCTGGGACGCTCCGTGGCAGGATAGCGCTTTTTCTCCGGCTGACCCCTCCCCACAGCCTCTCTCAGAGGCAGCGGCGTCCCCCCTGCTCCATCCCCGCTGCTTTTCCCCTCCAGCCGCTGACCTCTGCTGCCCCGGGGACAAAGGGGAAAGAGATCCCCCCTGCTTCTCCCCCTCCACCAGTGCTCCCAGCGATGAGCAGGACGGGCAAGAGCTTTGCTAAGATCCCTGAGGGATGCTGTGTGCATCATCAGGGTGATGTCTTTGCCACAGATGTGCTTTGGGCTAAAGGAGAAGTAGGAAGAGGAAAATGATGTAGGGTGTGAAACCTGGCCGTGACCAGACTTCCTCTTCTTACCAAAATTCAGCTGCAAGAGGCAGGTCCTTCCGTAGGCTGGTGTTGGGCAGGGGTACAGGCTGAGCAGCAAAAATAGGGGGCCACCTTTGCTCCTCCCCAAGCATTGTCTGTGCCCAGGATGTGGCCAGGCTCTGGTGTGTGGATCCCCAGCAAAGCCTAACCCAGGTTTGTCCCCCCTCCTCAGCCCATCCCCCCGTAGCTCCATGCTGGGACCTCGCAAAGCTGGGGTGTGCTCATGCACCCACATCCCTGCCTCAGACCAGAGGAGCTCACAGGGATTTTTCCCTCCCTCCAAGGATTCAAACCCACCCAAACCAAGGCAAGTTGCTTTGGCTTTGGCCAGGGTGGTCTCCCTGCCCAGTAACACACCCAGGATGTTTCTCCTGGGCACAATAACGTTTGCAAGAGCTTCCAGTGCCTCCATCCCTTCCTGACACCCTCCCAGTTCAGCTGGTGGTTG